ACCATCACAATGTCTCTTCACTGCAGGAAAAATGGCATCCACTGTTGTGAAAATCTTTCTGGAATAAGCACTCCATGACAGCAGTGAGAGTGGTGGAGAAGAGACCTCACAGTGGACTGAAGCCAGGATAGCTCCCGAACGGCCCGGGTGTCCGGTCCAGTTTGCATTCTCATTTTATGATCTAAAACCACAAGGTGAAAAGAGCGAGCAAGCGAGGTCTTACAGGAAAATTTATGTGGCAGGCAGTAGGTTGTTAAGAGCAACAATCCATTGTTTCAGGTATTTCTCTAGGTCATGCTGTTCTAGGTCGCAAATGAAGTCATGTTTGGCAAACAGGCAGTACAATCAGTACTTTAAGTCTCTAAATAAATCAATAAGTCAGTATCTAGGAATCAGTCCTTTCTACTTTATTCTACTTCAGAATAATTAGCAGGGTGGTGTAACAACATGGATGACCCTCACTCACAATACAAGGCAATGGTCGCAAAACACACACAAAAAAAAAGCGCACAGAGCTTTTTAATGATAGGATAAAAGCTATTAATGTAATAACTGGACATGATCAGATCAAGGGGGAAAACTGTATGATTATCTGAATAGACGTGTGCAAAGTATCTGAGAATAGCATCTGGTCTGCTTCATTGAACATGCGCCCATTCTTAGGGGAAAAGAAGCCTCTTCAGGCAGGAGTCAACCCTGTAACAAATATCATACTTGGTGGTGAAGTGCAAAAAACTCTCTAAAATCAGAACCAGTCAAGACTGATCTGCCGTGACACATTATTCTTAGTTACTTGAAGAATTTGGCCAGAGCAATAGAGCAAAGAAATCCAAGCACAGGATTATCATTCAAAAATTAAGCTAATGTCCCAATAGGAGCTGTCTGGCCATGGATGTTTCTCAGAAGAGCTGTCGTTACAGACAGATGCCTGGCAGAGCTGCAAGGGACTCACTTCGGGTCTGCTGAACATCTTACCTATGAGACGTAGGTTGGAAAGAGTAAAAGCAGATGCTAGGCCACAAATGCATCTTCTCATAGTTGTGTGTGATGGCACTGCACTTCCTTAAAGAGAGAGATGGCTTCGACACACTTCCATGTGATAGTAGTTGTGACTAGAATGTAAAATCTCCTCCACAGGCTTGTGGATTTGAACCATTGGTCCCCAGTTGTTGGCTCTGTTTTGAGAGGTTGTAGAAACTTAACAGTGGTTCTCGATTTCCTAATGTTGTGACCCTTTATTGAAGGATTTCTCAAGTTGTGGTGACCCCCACCCCACTACAGCTACAGAATTATTTCATTGCGACTTCATAACTGTAATTTTGCTACAGTTATGGATCCTAATGTAAACAGGATAAGACCTCTGTGGGGGTTGTGACCCCCAGGTTGACAACCACTGCCTAAGAGATTGTGGCACTACTGAAGGAAGCAGAAGAGACAAGAAGCTGGTGTTGAGTGTTATCTTCTATCGCTCCCCATCCCAATTCCTTGAGACAAGGTCTCTTACTGAACCTAGAACTTTCCGATCTCAGCACACTCAGGGCTCTGCCTCCAGTGCCCAGTACTGGAGTTACTGGCACACATGGAAACACCTGGCATACAGGAGCTCATGCTTGCACAGCAAGTGTTTTTGCATGCTGAGCCATCTCTCTAGCCCCACATCTGGAACATCCCGCCTGAGCCGAACATTAATAGCACAGTCCATATTTAATGTAGCTGGGTGTGGCTGGATGACTGTGATCCTTTGGCTTGGGAGACTGAAACAGGAGGATCAGCAGGTTCCTCTCTCAAGAACACAATAAAGAACAATGAAAAGAGTAGAGAGGGGGTTACTAAGGTGACATTCTGACAGCAGTGTGCCAAGGAAAGGGTATTAGAGGATAAATGAATTGGAAAGGAAGAAGATCAAAAGAATAACAGAGCGAAGACATCTCCTTTACAACTGGCTAGGTATATTTCCAACTTACCATTAAGTAGTATAGCAGCTATCAAAATGTGGTCCGAGAATCCTCAGAATCCCTAAAGCCGTTTTGGGTTCTATAAATCATAAATTATTTTCATAACCATAAGGCATTAATTCCTTAGGTCTTTCAGAGCTCTCATGAGTGTCCAGTGGAGATTCTCAGAGGCTATGTGAACAACCACTAACGAAGGGAGTTCTTCCTCTCGCCAGTTTTGCCCTCTGCCCTTGGGACTGCATAAGAAGATGGTACAGGCTGAACAGGGCTTTCAGCTGTCCAGCACTGCAGGGGACATACTGGACTGACCAGTGGGTAGTGAGACCATGAGAGAAGATCTCCTCTGACAGCCTGTGCCCAGTCACACCACCACTGCTCATTCAGCATTAGTCTTCCCAGAATTTGGGGATTAGTGAGGTTTCGCTCAGACCACTGGAAACATCAGTTTCCCATCTGGTCGGCCAGACACTGCCACACATAACAGGACCAGACTGACTTGCAGCATGTACTTAAAGGAAGTTGGACATCTGAAGCCCAATTCCAGAAGCTCATGGGCCCCAGGAGTCTGTTAGTACTGTCCCCAGAATGGCACTAGAGTCCAAACTGTACTGTCTGTCTTGACTCTAGGCAGCAACAAGAAAGCAGAGAGAGATGAGGCATATGGGTATTAGGTCGAGGAAGAGGCTCAACCAAGCTTCTCTTCTGATGGGGAACTCACTCCTTTGCACACTTCAAGACAAATGGGAAACATTCACTTAAGGACCATGGAAGATGCAGAACTCTTTCCTGTGCTTCTCCAAGTCCCTCCTAGGGATACAATTTCTCCATATACTATTGCAGGGATATGAAACTCCCCCCTCCACCGCAAAAGACTTGTGTGTTAAAGGCTAAATCTGTAGAAAATGGACCCAACCATGGAGAAGCTACTGGATCATGAGTACTCTGACCTAATTAATGGATGTGTATACTACTAAGGGTTTAATAAGTGGCCGGCATTATTAGGAAGTAGTTGAACTTCAGGGTGACACTTTAGCTGGAGGAAATATGAAGCAAGTTCTTAGGGACTCTATCTTGTCCTGGGTCCCTCTGCTTGGCCTCGTCCTGATACCTCAAGCGCCGCCATTTCTGGCCCCAGATGTTCTACTTATCACAGGTTTAGGAACAATGATCCCAGTGAGCTACAGTCTGGAACCTTGGGAACTATGGGTCCAAATGACTCTTTCCTCCTTCGATTTCTCCAATATTTGCCTCATGACAATTCTAACATGCCACTTGTGATTGCCTACCTATGCTTATTGGGTTGTTTTTTTTTAAAATATGTATTGACTTCTTACATGAGACTTTCAACAGGCCAGAGAGTATTGTGGGAAAGAGTAACAGAAAACCAAAGAACAGGAGACTGTCGGTGAGAAAATAGCTGTTTATAAAATAATGGCCAGTTCCACGTTCTACTCCCTCCAACATACTCCTCCCCTCTGGTTTATGGACAAACAGCATAGCATGAAACATCAGTGCCAACGATCCTCCCAGTCACCTCCTTCTCATGCAGCACCAATGCCCTGGGGAGGTGGAGGGAAGCAAGTCCCCCATGACAGCCTTCATTTGGAGGACAGGCTTAAGCTCGCGCCCCTACTAAAAACCAGAACCCCCCAAACTAGTTCCAAGCATACTAAAAACTCTAACGTTGTTCTGTTTTTTTGTTTGTTTGTTCTGTTTTGTTTTGTTTTTGAGGCAGATGCTTGCTGCTTGGCAACAAGATTTGGGCTCAACAAACTCCTAAACAACAAAACAAAACGGGATTGGTTCCCCTGTGGGTGAGACAATAGCACCCGTTAAACACATACTGTCTTTAAAAAAGCAAAGGGCATGGGGGTACTCCCAGGACAGGCGTGAATTCACTGCTGGTGCGATGCGTTCTTCTCCATGGCTGCTGACAAGCTAACAAAGTCACATTTACTTCCCCCCAGTAAAAACATCCCCTTTCATCACTACGTGTATGTTTAACTCTTTTGGAGGCAGAGGCGGGACTTCCCTGGAAGAGCAGAGGAAGGCAGGCTGTGGGAATACCAGAAATTCACCAAGTGTACTCAATAGAGGGTGGCTTTTTATATGCAGGTATTTGAAAGTAAAGGACCAAATAAGGCAATTGCTAACGTGTGGTGTTTGTGAATAGTGGATCTTAATTTTTCCCCCTCGCCTGCATTTCCAAGTTGGTTTCATAGAAGGCTTCATTGTAATCCAGGACCATTGTTTTGCATTAATTTCTATGACAAGGAACCCAAAACACAGGGTGCCCGGGAGTAACAAAACAGAGTTGGGGAGACAGTCACAACTTGGCACAAGTGTGACAAGCTGTGAAAAAGGCAATGTTTCAGGATCCGAAGTGGTGTGGCTTTCCTGGAGCAACCTTGTCGCCTGCAGACAGAATCATATTCTTTCCAGGCACATTGGAGACCCAAGTCAAGCTGTGTTTTATTTTTTATTATAATAAACACAGTTCACTGTAACAAAGACGTAGTGGTGGTGATCAGCTGACAGCCAGACCAGCACCAGGAGCTGGTGGTGAGGGCCCTGGGGGTGGGGAGGGAACTGATAAAAGGCCAGCCGTCTGGAAAGTTCTCTTTAAAGAACTTGAAAAGGCAGTGTTGTCTTATGAGACTACCACAGAATGCCAAACTATCTAGCTGGGCTCCTTTCTTGTCAGTCGCTGCAATTTGTAACTGAAAATGGCAAATCCTTCAAAATCCTGGTCTCTCAGCTTCCGTTTTGCTTTCAGATTTCCAGAATAAAATGAAGTAGTTTGTACACTGTTTTAAGTGGGCAGACTGTTTCTTACCCAGAGTTTACCTCCGGTTTATCATAGCATCATTCAGATGTCCCCCCACACACCTACTTAGAAGTCTCTACAATTATATGTACACTTAGGAGTTTGATGAAGTAGAAACAAACAGTTCACAGCAAAGTTACAGAAGCAGAAGCTAAAACATTCAGGTTAAATTAAAGTCTCGAATTCAGATTCCTTAGAGGGAATATAAATCATCTTACCATATCTTGAATGGCTAATTTTTCACAATCCAACTCATATCTCAGTCTGTCTCTACTGTCCATTAACTGTAAGAGAGAAAAATATGGCATTTTGATTAAAGATAAGAATACAACACCTAAAATGCTTTCCTCAGGAGAACGTGGTAAAAACACATTTTAATGAGGGAGAAAAATGGATCACAATATGACCAAAGAGAAAATTAATTTCCTACAGATTATTATGCTTTGATAATATTATTATACCAAACATAATATCCAAAAACAATGCTAATGTACTTAGAACTTTCCTTGCCACCCTCAAATATGACCTCACCATGCAGCCCAGTGAGTCAGCCTAGTTCCCGTAACAACTTTGCTTAACTTTCCGTATGTTACATTCTCTTGCTTCAAATTTTCATGCTATATTTATTTGCATATCAAATTATACTCATATTGACTAAAAATTCCTTTTAAAATCACACATTTTATCTCTGATCCTACGCAGTTTTTTTCTTGTTTCTGTTTTTGTTTTGTTTTGTTTTTTGTAGTTTAATCTCTGTTTTTCTTGGTAAAATTCAAACCTTAATTTAGACCTTTGCTCAGCTCAATCAATTAATTGTAATTACTAATCTGATAAATATCTCGAGTCACAGTCAAGAATATATTGTCTACTGTTTATTTAAGCTGCCCACTGACTCGTCACCCTGGCTCAGACCCCCCTCCTCTTCCTATTCATCTTTTGTTTGTTTGTTTGTTTGTTTGTTTTTGTTTTTCGAGACAGAGTTTCTCTGTAGCTTTGGTGCCTATCTCCTGGAACTGGCTCTGTAGACCAGGCTGGCCTTGAACTCACACTCACAGAGATCCGCCTGCCTCTGCCTCCTGAGTGCTGGGATTAAAGGCATGCACCACCACTGCCCGGTTTTATTCACCTAGGTGAAACACAAGTCTGAGCCTAGCACAGTGCCCAGGTTTCTCCACGGACTCAGAGGGCATCCAATCCCTTTGCATGAGTGACCCTTTCCACTATGTCTGATCTTTGCCATCCTCCCTCTCATGTACCTCCCTGCCCCAGCTAGTGAAACCACACACCTTGCCCTTTAAAAGATGGCTTCTGATGGAGCTTAGGATTCCCTTCTGGACTCTCATTTTCTTCCTGCCTAGCTCTGTCTGGCTTCTGGGAGACAGTTCAGCCAGCTTTGATCTAACCCAAGATGGGCACACCTGCTACAGCTTCCCCAGCTTGCTGAGCATCACACTCCTACTGTCCCCTCTGCCTCCTGGTCTGTCACCTACTAGAGTGGCAGTTTGAAAAAGAGACTGTGAGGTAGCAGCAGATGGAAACAGGCTTAGAGTCTCTTTTGTTAGATCCCTGGAATTAAAGCACAAACGCTACTGAATTCTATACTGTAGGGCTGTGATCCCAGACCGTAGGTGAGAGTTACACCCGCTTTCAACTTTCTTATTACAGCTACCGATTAAAGAAGGGAACCTGTGTCTTAGCTGATACTCGAGTTTGTTTTTTCCATTCGTTCTTGTTCTGCCTGCCTCTTCCCCATGCTCCCTCTAGTTTCCCTCTTTGTGCTCTACAACAGATTCTCACTTTGTCGTCTCAACAGGTCCCTCATACAGCCATGTCACTTGTCAGAAAGTCCTGGAATACACTTCCCACCACTCAGCAACACTCACACTTGGACGCCAGCTTCTATGCCCTCTTGTCTTCTAGGCAGCCCTTGCAAGAGGACCAGGAGAAGAAAGAGCATGGAAATGTCTGCGAAGATTTTCTAGAATCCTCCAGATGGAGCCAGATTCTTTTCTCCATGTGTTACTCTGCTCTGTGATCTTGGTCTGTGACTTCACAGCAGGCACAGTGTGTGTGTGTGCACACGTGTGTATGTGTATGTATATACATACATACATATCCACACATTTAAACTTTTTCTGACAGTAGTGCAGTGTGTGACATTCAAAACCACCTAATAAACACCACTGAACTAATTTACTGAAGGGTAGTAGGAACAAACTTCAAAGATCTGTTCTTTCTTGTTCAACAAGGTCTGACCTGCTTCCAGATGGCAAACCACTTCCACACACAGTATTATCTCTACTACATACATTGTAAGCTTGGGAGAAAGAAGAGGGGGGTGCAAAAACTAGTCCACAGGGCAAGCCAGAAATAAAACAGGAACCTAGGTGTTTAGATTCTTTCTTCTCAATAAGTGAGTCTATATTTTGCATCTGTATTAAGTTCCAGTAATTTGAAGGAAAAGCAAGAGAAACACAGGACTTTCCGAGGATGAGTGTGTAGTGGCATTTCATTTGTATGTTTAATAAATAAAGCTTGCCTGAGGATCAGAAAAGTACAACAGTCACACTGCCCACCCTTACAGACCAGGCAGCAATTACAGACATCTTTAATCCCAGTAGCCACACTAGTTTGCCATAGAAACCAGGTGGTAGTGGTGCATGCCCTTTATCCCAGAACTAGAGAGGACTATAAGATGGGAGGAGACAGTTCTTAGGCTCATCCTCATTTCTGAGGTTTCCTGGAGGTGAGATCACCATTTTCTTACCGAGGTTGAGATAAGAGCCAGTGGCTGGTTGCTTTGCTTTTCTGGTCTTCAGGTTGTACCCAATATCAGCCTCTGAGCTTTTATTATTTGTTTTTTGTTTTGTTTTGTTTTGAATTTTGTTTTTTGAGACAGAGTTTCTCTGTGGCTTTAGGATCTGTCATGGAACTAGCTCTTGTAGACCAGGCTGGCCTCGAACTCACAGAGATTGACCTGCCTCTGCCTTCCGAGTGCTAGGATTAAAGGCGAGTGCCACTACCGCCTGACTCTGAGCTTTTATTAATCATGCTTCATCAGTGAGCTGAAAGAGATCTGCTATATTACAGCAGATTATAGTGAAAAGTCCAAAAACCCTTTCATAGGGAGTTGCATATCAGATACATGTGATTCCTAACAATAGCAAAATTACAGTTATGAAGTAACAATAAGAATGATTTTATGGCTAGTGTCACCACAACATGAGGAACTGTATTAAAGGGTCACAGCATTAGGAGGGAAGCTAAGAACCACTGTGCTATAGTTATCCAAAATAGAGCTGGCAATCAGAAACACATTGTGAGTCATATACTTAAATTCAATTTCAGAGTAGCCTTGTTAAACGGTAAAACATAACACTAAAACTATATTTTTATCTGTCCCTACAAAAATACTCCAAATATCAATAAATATTAGAATTATAAGGGAAATATCTCAAATTTTATATAAAAAATTTAAAAAACACATGTATATATAGCTTTTTCAATTATAGGGAAAATTGGAGAGCTAAGTTCTTATCTATGTAGATTTCAGGAAACTTACAAATAGGAAGGCAGATTCATTATTTAAATTATTGAAAACATGAAGGTTTTTTCCATTCATTGAAACAAGCATTGGTTTTTTTTTTATTTAAAGTTAAAATTGTTCAAAATGAATCTCCTCAGTTGCATTGGTCATGTTGCATATGTCCAGCGGTCACATGTGGCTGGGAGAAAGAAAGCCCTGGGCTGCACAAACCTAGAAGCTGGGGCAGCCTGCAACTGAGCGGGGTCAGTTCACACCGGGCATGGTTTGTGTCCTCGACCACTTACAGGGGACATTTTTGGCTTTAACCGCATATTGTTTTCCACACAGAGTAGGACACCTCCGTAATTCATTCTCCCCAGAGGTAGAGAAGATGAGTGGTCTGGGAGATTTTAATCAACAGTGCACTTCCTCACAGGTCGGGTAAAAGCAGAATTTGGATATTTTAATTTTACAAGAACGGAACCAATCCTGAGACTCTCGGACCGTCTCCCCACAGACGCCATTCCTACTCTCTAACAGGAGGGCTTGCAGTGCTGCTGAAGGAGACCAGGTGACGCCTGAGAAAATGATATCATTTCGTGGAAACCTGCCTAGCGGAGGAAACCACGGCCTGACTCCGACCTATCAGTGTTAACTACCGTTCTTGGAACTAATTTTATCTATACTCCAGAAACATCCTACACTGCAAAATCAGACCCCAAACTACTTGGGTCTGTGTGGTCATCATGCTTTTGAAATGTGACTCGTGTATTTGAAGAGCAAAGGTTGCGTGTGTGTGTGTGTGTGTGTGTGTGTGTGTGCGCACGCGTGTGTGTATATTTTCTTTCACTATTTCTTTAAATATTTTATGTATATGTATGGTTTTGTTGCTTGCACATATGTCTGTCTGTAGTAATAAGAGTGGCGGGGCTGCGTCCCCAGCACCCCGGCCGCCTGCTAGCTTATGCCCAAAATAACAACACATAAACTGTATTCATTTAAACACTGCTTGGCCCATTTCTATCTAGCCTCTTCTAGGCTAGCTCTCGCACCTGGACTAGCCCATTTCTAATAATCTGCTGTAGCCCATGAGCTGGCTTACCAGGATTGATCTTAATTTGCGTCTGCCTGGAGTGGGAGAATCATGGCGACTCTCTGACTCAGCTTCTTTCTCCCAGCATTCCTTTCTGTTTACTCCACCTACCTATGTTTTAACCTATGAGGGCCAAAGCAGTTTCTTTATTGCTTAACCAATGAAATCAACAGATTGAAATATGACACTCCCACATCATCTGTCTACCAAGTGCATGCCCTGTCCATAGAGGATCAGATCCCATGAAACGGAGTTATAACTGGTTGGTTGGGTTCTGGGAACAGAACCTAGGTCTCTGGAAGAGCAGCCATGCCCTTAACCCCTGAGCCTTCTCTCCAGCCCCAAGATCCATACTTTCAATTTAACTTAAAATTGATAGTTGGCTGGGTTACTGGAAAAAACATACATTTCTTGGAATAACTTGGGGATGTGGGTCTGCCTTTCCATCTGTAAATTTTATAAACTCCAAATGCTTCTTCATTCTATGTATCCCTAGAGGAGTGTATTTCAGAATTTCAGGCATGGTCCTCAGCACAGTTGAGAGAGTGTGCTGTCTGCACTGGGAATCACAGTACAGGGGAGATGCACAGGGGACGAGCGTTGCTCAGGAGACTTTAAGCAGGGCAGCTTTGGGGGGAGGGAGTTAGGGTAAGAGCTACTGCTGAGGCGCTGTGCATCAGGTGTACGGGGATTCTTGGTTTTCATGATCCCACTATTGGCCCAGCAGAATAAGCCAATTCATTCTCACTCAAAAAAAGATGTGGCAATGTAGTCTCACTCTTAGTGATTGATGCTCTCAAGCAAAGGTTCAATACTCCAATGAGTTTTCAGTAAGAATTTTTATTTATTACTAGCCCCTTTATTCCAGATAATAAGGAAATACATTGTTAAAATGACATAATGGGGAAATGTTTAAGTCAACTTTCTTTACATTTGAGGATACCCTGGACATGATGTCATTTCACCAATGGTGCTGATATTTCAATTTAAAAAGAGTCATTTATCAATGTAAAAGATGTTCGTACCTTTTGAATAGTTCGCTGATCCTGGTCTGCAGTCTCTTTCAGACATATAATTTCATCCTCTGTAAACAAAAGGAGAGAGAGGCCGACCATGAAATTACACACGTATGCCCCTGTATTCAAAGCGCCTGCTTTGGGGCAGGCCGTGGAGGCATGGACAGGCATGGTGTTCACGAGTCCTAGCAGGACTGTGACCTTCACAAATGCCCTTGACATTCACAGCCTTCTCCCTGCTGTTAGGTTGGCCAGTCAAATCGGGAGTAAGAAGTAAGTGTGGCTTAGGGCTGGATGCTTTTCATCAGTATAGCAGTGGGCATTCTTTGCCGTTAGTTCCAGCCAATACAAAGTGCTTTAGCAGGTGGCTCTTTATGATTTGCCAAGAAAGACCACAACCTGAGAAAGCATCATCACACCACATCAGAAGAGAAATGGCGTCACAGTGGCACGACGTCATCCTGTACCACAGGACACCGTAATGCGACTCATCTCGCCAATGCTCACACCCGTGTTCTTAGTCTTTGTCCTGCTTTCACACGGTAGATTACCAGAACATCATACAAAACAACTCCAAATATAATGGCTACAGTCAAATTTTAAAGGCACTTTACAGCAGTGTATTTCTGGTGACAAAATTGTAATTTTTATTGATACTTATTGTCTAAACAAAAGGGAATCTAAAGTGTCGAAGGAAAAAATTGCATTTATAATTTGGATCAAAAGTTGAGTGTGAGTCCTGGCATTTTGTTCTGAGAGGCTGAGCTTGCTTCTCCACAAGTACACCTCAACATGTTCCCTTATGTGTGCTACAGTGAAGGAAAATGAGCACGTCTCTTTACAGCACCTCTAAGTGAAGCACAGCAAACTGATTAGGACTTTTTTTTTCCTGCTAACGCTAATGTGTATTTCTGTTTTTTTTTTTTTTTTTTTTGAAACACACACTCTGAGTTCATTCACATGGCTCGGTCGCACAAACACAGATACGTCCTATGCTCCAAGCAAGGGAAGCTATTTTAAGAAAAACAAAGACAGCTATCACACTGCTGTCTTCTAGGTGTAAGTAACTAAACACACGTCAGAGGAGAAGCCAAACACGACAGTTTGTGACGTGTCATGCTCTCCATGGAAGAGCCGGAAGGGTTACCTAGTATTGAGTTTTCCTTCAGGCTCATCTGCGCTTCCTCCTCCAGCATCGCAATCACCTGCAGCAGCCTCTCATTCTCCGTCTTGCATTCCATAAGTTCTTTTTCTGAGCTGGCCTCCTTGCCTAGATTGTCCTGCAAAGACAGGGAATTCCATATTTCTACGCAGGGAACCAAGGGTTTAAATATGCAACCCCAGAACAATGCGGATACAGAGCCTCTATCATATAATTTTCTGAATTCTATTACACACTTATAATATGAATAGCAAAAAGGAAGGGGACTAAATAGAATGGGCTGGAAGAAAGGGCTCAGTACATTCTGTACAAAGACCCCAGCACATGGGGACATTTTATTGACAGGAATTATGCATATCATACTGTTTGTGTGCCCTCATCATTCAGGTCAATTCATTATGGAGGCTGTGTCCGGGGAGGCAGCTGGGGCCCCTCCACCCACACTTCCATCTCAGGATCTGAAGTGTTATGCCCTGTAACTAGGCAGGCTGGGGAGACCATGGATGGGCAGCACCAGGGGGTGGCAAAGTGCAAGACTAAGGAGGGGGGCTTGTTGCTTTGTGGCACTTCCCAGTGTCAGTGCTGCCAGTGTCACGAGGAGCCCATCACATGTCAAAGGAGTGACGTGTGCAGGCTGGGAGCCGCATGGAGCCCATCAGGCGCCCAGATATCCACACAGTTGGTTTTCTTCTGGGTGGAGGAGCCACCCAGAGGCAATTCATATTCTGAACATTAACGTGGCTTTGCATGCCTGTCACAGGGGCTGTGCAGGCAGTTAACGCTATTGAAGACTAGGGTTTAAATCTCTATGCAAAGTGATTACCTTGTAAGAAGGTTTCAGGATAACTTACAACAAAAGACTTTAAAGTTATAGTTTTAGCAAAGCAAACTCATTTACATTTTTATTATGTGTGCCTTTTGTTTAAACCGTGCCATGTCCGTTATGACAGAGGCTTTTTCCTATGCAATGGAAGTTGATTTGGGGAGGCTACCCTTTTTTTTTTCTTCTTCCTCTTGTCTGCTTCAAAGCTATTGAAAACATCTGAATATACTTGCCTATGGTTGTCTACGTTTTATGGACACACTTTAAAAAATTAAGATGTCAGGGATCACGGAGGCTGGTGCAGAATTTTATACTCCATCACGGATCATGCAATTTAAAAATAACGGTTGCATTATTATGCTAAATAGGAAAACAATTCTACATGTCTTGCTTTGAAATTCCCATGGACTTGAAAATACTTTTGAGCTTCAAAGTAATCTTAGCTGAATTATGAGTTGTTCCTTTTACAGTAATTCCATGATTGTAGATAAATACAAATAAATAGACACTCAAAAACAAAGCGAGTTTTCCAATGCACCCATTTTCTTCTAGGACTGTACTCTGACTTAGCTTTAGAGAAACCAGAAAGTAAATTATTAAAATGTTTCTCCCTGTGATCATAATTTTTTAAAAGAAAAACAAGCATTGAAATATTTTATAGTACATTAACAAACCCCTTTAAAATAGTGACTTACTAATAGAATTATAATCTTATACATTGGACTTAATAACATTTGAATATGCTGTTGAGTTGAGCTTGGGTATACAAATTACAAATCTTTGAGCTTTTGAATCTTTACTCTATTTAGGTTATCCCAGCATAATAATCACTAATTTTATTTATTGTCTTTGGAACAGGCTGGTATTCTATAGCCCAGCCTGGCTATCCCAGTGAGATTTATTTAGTTACTTACATACTGATTTATGTGTGTGAGTATTTTGCCTGCATGTGTGTCTGTGCCATGTGTTTCCCTGGTGCTATTGGAGGTCAGGAGAGGATGTTGGATCCCTGAAACTGGAGCTACAGACAGTTGTCAGCTGCCATATGGGTGCTGGGCATTGAACGCGGTCCTTAGGAAGAGTAACCAGTACTCTTAACCGCTGAGGCATCCCTTAAGTCCTTGCTCTTGAATTCTTCACCTTTCTAACTAGACAACCATAGTGCTCAGATCCTAACATGCAGAACTAAAGGAGTACTAACTGGTTTAATGAACAGTTAAGAAGCAGCATGGTTTTCTCAAAAAAATAAGGGGAGGCTCAGTATTTCTACATCTCACATCGTTAAAATTAAGACAATTACAGAATGTGTTGTTTATGATCTAAAGGAATACACACACACACACACACATATGCTGTATATATTGAACAATACCAGCTTGAATCTGTTTCAGCGTATATTTGACATGACACCTGGCAATTCAAGGCCATCCATAGAGGGTTACATGGATGCCTGTTATTGTCCATAACCTAAGAACTATTTGAGCAAATCAGATGAAGATTAAAGTAAGAGCAGCTTCCAGCTAATATGTTTTCTGAGCCTCTGTGTGGGAAAGCGAGATCCAAGGAAAACCCACTGAAATGAGGCACTCTTCCTCCGTCCATCTGCAGCCCTGGTTCTCCAGAGGTGAGTCTTTAGCTCTGTCCCCACCATCTGTCAGCTGCAGGAACTGCAAGTAATTAACTATTCAGACACCCAGGGAAACGAGGACACTTCATTAGCAAAGGGAACAAAGCCTTAGTCCTGGCTGCTGCCTTCCTCTCTCACACTCAAGTGGCAAGTTTTGTGGTGATGTTCCTTCTGCCATCTGCCCCACATTGCTAGCTCTGGCTTGCTTATACCATGAATTTTCTTAAAAATAAATTGCATTCATAAAACAAGGTTGAGGAAGATGCAGCTCATTAAAGGAAAGTTAGTGATTACTTGTAGGATCAGTATAAACCAAGATCACATCAAACACAATCATCTTGGAATTTTACATTCATGAAGGTACTTTCTCTTCTCTTGTTTTTCTTTCATTTTATGAAAATGAGGCCTTTAATTGGTGGGATAAATGCAGTTTTTCTTGTGAATATGCATAAGGTTCACAGTACGTCTAATTGCAGGTCTCAGAACTCCAAGCTGATTCTGGAAAGAAGTGCTTTCCAAAGCAGGACCATGCAGAACCTTCCTTCTCTTGATGTGTTCTTGCCCGAGTGTCTAGGCATCATGTGTGAACATGCTGGAGAGGTGGCATCTCAGGTTCCAGCCCAGACCTCCTATGCTGGTCTGTATCTGAGCAATCTCTGCATGTAATGCATATGAGCCAGGGTCTGAGAAGTTCCTGTCTCGGAGCTCTCTGTGTGCCTTCCCAGCAGTTCTCTTCTGTGACGTTAGCATCTCAATTCTGCAGACTCCACGGATGGCACTCGGACATCTCAATCTGTAGATGGCGGGAGTGGAGGGGAGTAGGACTGTGATGTGTGCTCTTGTTTCGTGACAGCCACACAGAAGAGCAGGTGCTTCCCAAATGAGTGACAGCCAGGAAAGTGGCACCCTAGGGACAGCGCAGCCCTGCAGAGTGGCCATCCGTGAAAAACACCTCTGATCCAGTATGGTTAGCAACCAACAGATCTGTTCGTCAGTGGAGGGTGGGTGGTGAGATAAGCCACACTGATTTCCCACAGAATCAAAACTGGAATGAAGTTGTTCTCAGGAAAACTGAGATCAAGGATGTCATCGGAAACCCAGGTTTCTGTAACTTGAAAATCCCTTTCTGCCTTCCACTGGCTGCACATGGAGTTTAGGCTCCTTGTTTACTGAACTTGTCCTTCTCTAGACTGTCTCATCAAATTCCTCTCAGAACCAAGCCAGGAGCGACAGCATGACTGTTTATTAACATAAATAAGCTACTGGTGTGATTTGATTATTAGAAGAATCAATCAAGTCTTAAATAGACTAGGCATAGCTAGTTTATTTCACATGTTTTCAAAAATACTTCTCGAGATTTCCCCTGAATATTCATTCGTTAGTAATGTTTGTGCGTGCAAATGGCGAGGACAGGCATGAGCGCCACAGCATGTGTGTGGAGGGCAGACGACAACACTGTGGAATCGTGCCTCTCACCTTTAAGCTCTAGGGATGGAACTGAGGCCCTCAGATCTGTGCTACAGGCATTTCACCTGCTGAACTATTTGCTGACCCTCCCCTTGGCGTCCTAACCCGTTCTCTACTTCTGTGCTCCAAATGCAGCTACAGGTTAGCATTGAGCAATGTCTCAGAGGATTTCTGAGCCGCTAGAGGGGGCAGCTATCTATGATGAAACTTTAAATAGAAACCCAGTCAAAAGCTACAGTTGAGAACTACACAGTTGAGAACAGACTTAGGGAAGTCTGTTCCAAGGGAATTTAGTAATAAGTTTTTCACAGGCTTCCTGCTATCCAACTTCTCTGAAATCCACACTACAATTCTGAAATCTGAAACCCTTCCAGCTGTAGGTATTTTCAGACAAGGGAGACTCAATGTGGATTGGTGGCCAGTGTGTGTGTGTGTGTGTGTGTGTGTGTGTGTGTGTATGTGCGCGTGCGTGTGCCTTCTGGCTTCACCTATTTATCCTCAGTCCTGCAACCCCCATTCAGTCATCTTCTTGGTCTTTAGAAAGTCATGAGAAAATTCTGTCCTGCTTTGGACTGCTCGCTGCTGGGCTCCAGACGGTAGTGCTGAGCTGACAGGAGATGAGAATGAATTTGCCTTTCTCTTACATTCCTCCCAGGCAGAACTTCAAGCTATCCTTTCTGCTCTTCACATTGTGTTTGCTCTGACCCTGGGTCTAATCAGGAAGATGGTGACTGGCTCCTCTTGCTAGCGAGACCATCAGTAGGGAAATCTGAGATTTTCCTTCTCGACATCTTGATTTAAAAGTCGTTAGCTCACTACCTGTGATGGGAGGAAAGCGCAGTCCTACAGCACTATGGGGAACATCCTGAAGACTTCTCCTTCAGGGCTTCCACTACGTAAATCCAGATCCTTGACTAGGCCATGGAAAAGATTTTCAGAATGATCTAGTTTGCAGCAGAGTTGGAGTTTTTTCAGAGAAAAGAATTAACTTGCATTAAAGCATCAGGATTTTAACAGAAAGAAGCATCAGGGAAAAAGTAAGAAACACCCAAGTGAGAGGCATATTTCAGTCACATACAGTCATCGCAAAAAGGACTTTATGGGTTCCTTATCTCCAAATGGTTGCTAAGAACTGTGAATGAGACCACAGGGTGGTTCTTGAGATGTGTTGAACAGAATTACAATTGAAAACTTAAAACTCCAGAAGGTAAGGTATCTTCACTGGATATGAGTTGGGTTTGTGAGACTCCCAGAGAGAAGAGAAAGATCACAAAGCTCAGATACTCATGGGCCTGACTGGTATTTTAACAGGCTTAATGGAAATTACAATCTCCTTTCTTAAAAAAAAAAGATTGTGTGTGTGTGTGTGTGTGTGTGTGTGTGCGTGTGTGTGTGTGTGTAGAAGTCAGAGACAATGGATCCCCTGGGCTGGAATTATGAGTGGCTGTGAATGGCCCAACATGGTTACTAGGCCTAGAACATGGGTCCTCTGGAAGAGCAACCAGAATTCTTAACCCCTGAGCTATCTTTTCAGGCTGCAAAAGTGTCTATCAAAGACATTTATTGTTAGTAATGTTTATAATGAATATTGCTAAACTGTGTTAGAATTCTTGATTCTCAGCTAGCAAGAGCCTTCTGCTCAATTCCGTAGTAACAGGCTCTTAGTCTTTCTCACACCCCCATAATTTTTCCTGTCTTTCCATCCTGCCTCAATTCTGTTCAATCCCAGTTGGCTTGTTGGAAGCCTCTGACTTGGGGAGATTGGCGTTGTCCCTTTTCAGCCATCTTGACTACAGAAAGGATGGAAGGCTTAAAAATTACAATAAAAACTCAACAGTGTTGTTCTCTAGAACAGGATTTTTCTTGTCACTGGCAAGTGGGCAATTTCATTTCCATTATAAATTAAAATTTGAAGACAATTATGGTGCTCCTCTTTATAATTACTATGGATTTTCTAGAATGTGCCATAGAGTAGTAAAGTGCTGGACTGGTTTAGATTGTAGAGTGAGTGCGAAAATACACCGAACCAACCCCTTTCATCTTTCTGTTTGAGTGGATGTGTGTGCACACGTTTTTACATCCTTCTGGATGGGTGTGTGTTTGTGTGCCTGTACACCTGTGTTGTAGAGGCCGAAGCCAGGAGATGGCATCAGCGGTCTTCCTCTTTGACTCTCTCCCTTATTTGGGGGGATGGAAACTCTCACTGGGCCTGGGGGCCACAATTTATCTAGACAGGGTGACAAGTAAGCCCTAAGGTTTCTCTTGTCTCAGCCCCTGCCTACAGTGCCACCATGCCTGGCTTTTCTGTGGGTGCTGGAGCCTGAACCAGGGCCTCATGCTTGCAGTTTGGTCATTGCCTCAGTCCAGTTCTTACTCTTTTTTAACCCAGAATTATTGCTATCTACAATCCTATTTACATTGATTACTATTAACTTTAATTTATTATAAAAATGAATTAAACTTACAACCTTTTGAATTCCACTCTCTTCATATTGTTCTAGTTCATTTCTTAAATCTTTAAGAATTTCTTCTTTCTCTTTCAGCTTTTTTGCTAGAAAGCTCATTCTGATGTTTGCTTCGTCTTGCAAGGCAGCCTTTTCTTCTTCTATCTCAAAGAATTTCTGGAAGGCAGAGAAGAGCATTAAAAATTTGATCAGAAATTGCTTCATTTTAATTTGATATCTTGTAAACCTATTTTATTTTTATAACATTCTTACATTTCTTTGAAAATAATTCTAAATTAAAGCACACAATAAAACAATACAGTTTTATTATTAAAAATTATTATATATGTTATTATAATAATTATTATTAATTTATTATAATTAAACAATACATTATCTGATAAAACACAAAGCATGGTACATTGTTCTGATTTTATCTGTCATCCAAGTAAGAGTGAAGAAGAGGAAGATGACTGATTAGGAGGCTTCCCACAAAATATACGTTTCCCACAGGCATCTCTCCCACAGCCACAAGACTTTGGTAGCCATTTGTCAAGACAAAGGCCTAACTGGCTAGAAGGGTGCACAAGTCTGGCTGACCCCGAAGAGAGCTGTTTCGGGAGGGTGGGTCTATACCAAGCGGTAGGCTCAATAATGACAGTTCTCACAACAGTTATAAGCAGACCCATTGCACGGTGAACTCAGCCACAAACTTCTGGTTTGGTCCCACCACTAACACAAGCTGCTAAGAAAAGGAGGCAAGCCCACCCGCATTTCTGGTAGGTAACAGGTCTACTGGTCTGGGATGCTTGCAGACCCTCAACTTGAAATCCATCTAATGCCTGTCTCAGGTGTGACTTGAGAGCAGTCTCACCTTCCCAGGACCTGAGCAGCAATCATGCTACTCCAGGCCCCTGAGTCATTGCTGTTAGCCACACAGCAAATCCCGAAACACCCTGGAACATCCCTGGTTGTCGTTTAACAGTGACAGCCCACTAAGGGACCGCTGGGGAAGTATGTGTTTTCCTGCCTTAGAGGAAGGTCTACCGATTCATATCCCATTGCATAAATAGCCTTGCAAGCCAATCCATCTCACCCAGTACAGAAGCAGCCCTGTCCATCCAGAGACTCATCAGGAGACATGCTCACACAGGCCTCCTAAAGTAAACCTGAAAGCATTAGTTCAGTTTCCTACTCCAGGGACACCCCATAACCCAGCTTCAGCCCCACAAAAGCCATGATCCAGAAGTACCTCTGAATCCCCAGAATCTAGCAGAATACGGGTTCATCATTGTCCCTGTTACATGTCTGGAGTGTCCAAACAAAACTATTCAAAGTAATTATAGCTACAATAAGTAGTTAATCAGTAAATAATTTTGAAAAATATAAAGTGTGACATCAATAGCATAAAATATTGGATGAATGAAAATATTAAAGTGTTCAGGGTTGTATGCCATTGAAATTAAGTGACTATTAGCTTAAAATTATCCCCTCCTTCTTCCCTGTCTCCTTGTCTCCCTCCTTTCCTGTCTCCTTCTCCCAGCTTTTTGACACAGAGTTTTCTATGTGGCACCTGTTGGCCTAGAACTCATGATCTCCCTACCTCAGCCTATGGATGCTGGCATGGCCACCACGCCTGGAAATGGGAGCTTTTAACTTATACATGCTTCTTGTCAACCACAGGTGAAATTTTAAAAAAAATCTTCTGGTAGGTACACAAAGACAACAAGAAAACAAAGCAAAGCATAAGACTTCAAAGAAGGCAACAAATCAGAAGCGGTAAGAAAGGGGAAGGGGACTAAAAGATTCACAAACTCGGACAACTGACATAATGGCCCCAGCAAGCCCTTCCCTTCAGCAGCGACTTCAGCTATGAGCAAATGGAATTCTCTAACCAAAGGTAGAGCCGTGGAAGAATGGAAGAGAAACAACGTGCAACAATGTACTTCCCATAAAGACCCACTTTAGCCTAAAGGACACACACGGCCTGAAATCTTAAGGTAACACAAGGTTTTCCCTGTGATTCCTAACCTAGAGAGAAGGAGGACAACTACACTAATATCAGACTAAACAAATTTGGATCCAGTTGTTTTCACAAGAGACAGAGGTCATGCCTAATAATGAATCAATTTATGTAAAGGATGTAACAACCATAAACATTTAAGCAGTCAGCTTTGGAAAACTGAAATATATAAAATAGATATTAACAATTTAAGAAAGAAGTAGCAATATGATAATTATAAAGGGGATTTTGCTAACCCATTGATTTTTTTGTCACCCCTTGGTGTTGAACCTAGGACTTTGCACATGCTAACTAGCACTCCACCATTGAGCTACTCCCCCAGGCTAATATTCCACTTCTAATAATAGATAAAATGTAAAAGTTCAGTAAGAAAATGGTAGATTTGAATACATGAGAAATAGAAAAGAAGAAAAACATGTGAAAATTTCAGGGTGGTGGTAATATCCTGAGGTGTTTAGAGAAAGGCAAATGACCTCAAATAGCTTGGTACTGTCTGGATAAATGACAGAAGGAAGACATGGGGAGAGGTGGTGATCTTCTGTCTCACGCCAAGGAGCTGAGATCATCCTACATATATGAAACACTACTTAACCATTGGGATTAGTGACCTTTTGGATTAACAACAAAAACAAAAACCCAAAGCAACTACATCAACAAGCCAGGAGCTTATCCTCACTGAGCCTCCCTGGAAGACATTCTTTTCCCTCGACGAGGTGAGGAAACCTCAGAGGGTAGAACTACTGGATTCAAGGTGTAGTGAAATCTTCTAAAACTGAACAGTGCTGCTGATTGCACACCACCGTTAAGTTGTACATCTTATGCTATGTAAACTGCCTTTAATAAAACTGCTAAGTGACTTCACTGTACCAACATTTTCAATATACACTAGGAATAAGTCATAAAAATGTGACAGAAAAGATTACATCCTCTCAAGAAATAAACTATTACACTTAGGAAAAGCTTGGCTACATAAAATATCTATAAGTAACATTATAAATTTTTTTGAAATATAGAAAACAGAAATGAATCACATTATTAGTCGAGGAAATTGAATGCTATAAATAATAAAAACCTCCCCCAGAATTTATGAATAATTTCTGACATTGAACAAGCTTCAAAAAACATGCAAACAGGGAAGTTTTGTTGAGGATGAAATAATCCTCCAAATTATTTTAGTTTATTTGAAAGAATAAAACATGCTAAGAAAATCATAAAGAAGAGATAGAATAAAAATAAAACTTGCTATACACTTGCCTAGTCATAAGGCCCTGGATTCCATCCCCAGCAAAACACACACACACACAAAATATTAATTCAAAAAGTGCTAAAATTCTACAATTCAGAGTCAATAGATCATTTCATTTGTTCATTTGAGATAGTATCTCATTAAGTAGTCCTGTCTGGCCTGGAACTAGTCATGTAAACCTGGCTGGCTTCAAACTCACAGAGACTGCTTAATCCCAAGTCTGGGAACAAAGGCTCATGTCAGCACACTAGACTAGCTTTTCCTTCCTTCCTTCCTTCCTTCCTTCCTTCCTTTCTTCCTTCCTTCCTTCCAACTCACAGAGACTGCTTAATCCCAAGTCTGGGAACAAAGGCTCATGTCAGCACACCAGACTAGCTTTTCCTTCTTTCCTTCCTTCCTTCCTTCCTTCCTTTCTTCTTCTTTTTTTTTTTTTTGATAGTTTTCATATATGGTCACAAAATATCCAGACAGACTTGAAGTGAATCTAAAGCTATCAAGAAAGAAAAGATCAGATATCAAGGGGAAAGAAAGCTATCCAGTATATGGTATTCTAAAGTGACGCTTATCAGCTTGAAGGCTGGTGGTGGCTCCTCTCTCTGTTTTATAGGTTTTATAAACACCTAAGTCCTGGTATTAAAATCCCATTTGAAATACTGACAGTAGCTTCGTTTTTTTTATCAGAAGTATAGATTAAGCAATACCTTTCTTAAAAATGAAAAATATAGAAATGATATTACTTTTTAAAGTTTTCTTTTTGCAAGTAAAAACAGTATAATATCTCACACAAATACTTGAAAGTTAAGTAAGTTTAAGAGCCACACTCCAGAGCTGGGGGAAGTAACTACATCCTTCACTGGTCTCTAGGGGGCAGCAGAGAGCCAGTTATGTTTGTCCTCTGCCAAAAAAAAACACAGGCCTGTGGCTGTTGTATTTCCCAGGCTCAACTGTTCTCTTATGATTAATCCTGAGAAAAGCGGGTGGCCAGGATTAGCAAGACTTGTGAGGTCATAAGTCAAATCAAAGCTAACAAGTCTGAGTGAAGATTCAGATAATGGCTTTAATTTAACCTAATAGAGACAAATGTTTTAATCTAACAAGGCAACTAACCACACTAGTGAGGGCTTGGTTAAAAGCGTTGCACTAGCATACGCTTATGAAAACTTGGCAACAGGCAGAATTTAGTCATTTCCGTTTCCGCTCCCAGAAATAGAAATTGTACATGTGAAGAGTGACACCCATTACTTTGCCATACTTTTGAACATATTTGATGTCTATGAAAAATAGTACTCCAAGAATTATTGAAGAATGACGGATGATTATAACCTGTTCTGATAAACCATAGATTTTTGAATTACTCTTGCACTGTAAACAAAGGTTCTGGAGAATTCTTTGTGTGTCTGTGGGGGGTGCGGCAGGTGTACACAGGTCCCAGGCAGTTGTCCCAGAAGGACATCCTGTGGTTTACTCTACTTTGTTCTGCTTTCTTGTTTCGACACAGTCTCTCACTGAACCTGGTGGTCCACAAGCCTCAGCAATCCCCCTGTCTCCACTCCCACCTGCTGGGGTTACTCTGGACTTTTCCCAGGAGGGCTGGCATCCCCACTCAGATTCCTAGACACATACTCTTAGCCATCACACTATCTGTCAAGCCCTAGAGACAAACGCTGCTAAGTTAGCTTCTGGCTCACTACAGGCCATAGAGAAAATACAATCATGTCTTTGTCAGAGCGGCCTATTAAAGGTGGGACACAGCACAGGGCAGGGCCAGACTTTCGCTGTCAGAAACAGCCACCTTGCGCTCTGCACCCGCCCCCACCCACGGCTAGAGTTAGAGCTTATGTGGAAAGCGGCTGTAGGAATAGACCAAAGAAGGGCAGAGGCAGGGAGCATTCTGAGAAATTTTCTCCCATGTTCACACGTCTGGGTAGTCTGAAACATTTCTGTTGAGAAGACATTATAGTCTACACAGACCCATAGAGTCTCACAGGAGCAAATGCAAACGTTCTCTGAAGAAAGCTCCCTCAATCCTGGGGGCTCAAAGAACTCAAAAGGGCATGAATTCATAGTTAAGAATTATAAAACTCAAAAGCAGATGTCATCTCATGAGGGAAGGAGGGCTAGTACTTGTGAGAGACAATTACCAGAACCTCAAAAACAGAAGGTGTGTAAAATATGAAGCACACACTATAAGTGTACGTAAATGTACTAATTAATGTGTGTTTAAAGGTAATGTGGGCACTGGAGAGACAGCTCCATAAGAGTTGTACAAGCGCGAGGGCCTGAGTTCAGATCCCAGCACCCATGTAAAAGCCGTGCACCTGTTACCGGTGCTGAGGCACAGACAGGCGCATTTCCAGGCCATGCCAGTCAGCCCACAGAGCTGCAACAGGGCAATTCCAGGGTCAGTGAGAGATCCTGTCTCAACTGGTTAAGCAGAGGATGACAAAAGTAGAACTCTTAACATCCTTCTCTGACCTCTGCAGGGGCACACACACTCATGTTTACATACATACATACATACAAAATACGTACATAAATATTAGAAAGAGTTAAAATGACTTTCAAGCATGTCTCTTCTTTTCTGGTGGAAATTTTTATACATCAACCAAAATAGTGAAAACAATAGTTTGCTGTCCACTTGTCTACTCATGCATTCGGGTATTCCTGAGGGAGTCCTACACAGCCTTAGAACTCACATAAAGGTGGAAGGACAGAACCATTTCCACGAAGTTATCCTATGATTGTCACACATAAATAAATAAATACAAAAAAGAAAAAGAGTGATGTTTTCTCCTGTGGATTCTGTGCTGATTCTTTTTCCAACTTAACAGAAGCTAGAAACCTCTGAGAAGAGGCCATCTCAACTGAAAAACTGCTCGCTTAGATTGACCTATAGGCAAGTCTGGGGGGCGTTTTTCTGATTGATGACTGACACGGGAGAGCCAAGATCTCTGAGTGTTACTGGATTGAATAAGAAAGCAACTAAGCATGCCATGGTGAGCAAACTAGTAAGCTCTGCTTCAGCTCCTGCCTCCAGACTTGTGTCTTGAGCTCCTGTCCTGTGGCTTTCGGTTCTGGTGTTTAGCAAACCAAGGCGAGTTTCTTCAATCTGCACATATCCTTTCCCGTATGCCTTACAGCAACTCACCTGCTGTCCCATTGGTCAGGCCTGACTTCCAGTGGCCAGGCCATTGGTAAAAAGAAAGCTAGGGTGGAATTAATGTTTTCAGTCTACAAAGTTGGAAACGCTTCTGTGAGTTTAAGAGGAGAGGATGTGCCGTTGGTGAGGTTGGGTGAGAACCAAGCAACACCAACATCCTCAACAGGTTCAGGAAAGTATCCACTCGCAGTTACTAACTGATGCTCAGTGACGACACAGCAAGAAAGGCCGCGTCCTTGTCTTAGAGCACAGAACATGCGGTTACATAGCTAAATGCAGACGTGCCAAATGCCATGCAGTGACCACTGCGCCAATCGACCATAAGTATAAATACTTTTTGAAGTTTATGGGAATGAAAGATGAGATTGTAGCTGTAAATACAAAGACAGTTCATAAGGTGCTTACTAAGTCTAAAAATCATCTCTGAGAGTATGCTGTTTCCCACTGTGTGAGAGTGAAGAACCATACTGAGCACACAGCAGGATCCTGTCATTGGGGAGGCTTCTGCATCACTGGGAGTTCAGACTATTTTTGGAACTCTAGTCTTTGGGCTGTCTGACTTTCTTCTAGCTGGCCGCATCTTCACCACAGAACTTTGGATGATTTGGGTGATTTGCCCAGGTGCTCAGGAAATGAGAGCCGTTTTCCAGTGTCCGAAAGTTTTGTAAAGTCACATGATATAGTGTGACTTCGGTGCACTTAATGTGAGCATCGATAGTCCAAGCCCGAATTCTCTGAGATGACCTGAAATTTGAGGAAGCATATCCTCGTGGAAGCTCAGAGTAAAGAGTGGAAGCTCAAAGCGAGCTCCACTCCCTGCACACACAGGAACCAAAGCTGGCCTCCGTGGCAGCACTCACCCACCGTGTACATCCCTCTGATAACAGCGATGGCATCACTTAGCTGTTGCTGAAAGCTTTTTCTCATGGTGTCTTCAGACTGCAAACCAAAGACAAATGCAGTAAGTACCACGGCACCGCCTGGGGAAGAAGGCATAGCAACCACTCCCCATCAGTCTCTTGAGAGTTTCAATTTATCATCATTTCTTCTATACTGAAGCTATCGTAGCATATTTAATTTTCATCTGTGATTACCCAAGAGCAATACAAAGAGGCTGTGGATAAAACACAGATCAACTTGACAATGTTTCACTGTACACATCAACTAAAGTCTTACAGACTCTTCCTAGAACTGCTTAGAAAAAGAATAAGATCTATTTACATTCACATTGTCGTGTAGCCTGTATCTTTTTTTGTTTTTAATTTTAACTTTGTGTGTGTATTTCCTGCATGTATAGCTGTGTACCCCTTGTGAGCCTGGTGCCCAAGGAAACTAGAAGAGGGAGTCAGAACTTATCGGACTGGAGTTAGAGATGGTTGTGAACTGCCATGTGGGTATTGGGACTCAAACCACAGTCCTCTAAGAAGACCCAGCACTATCAACCACTGACACATCTCTCTAGTGCCCAGTTCTATTTTTTGATGGAATAAGTTCATAAAAGGTTAGCTTTGCTGATCTATAGGCTATACTAATTTTATTCTTCTAATACATTTGATTATTTCTGCTTAGGTTAAAAATGAACATTTTTTTTAAAGAAAAATACTCTGATTCTCATATCCATTCTGAGTCTAGCATGATGTGTAAACAGCAAACAGGTATTAGAGTCAGAAAGGATGGAATTTAAATATTGTATGTCCCCATGTTTTGAACTAACATAAGGTATTAAACTTGGAAAACTTAGTTTCTGAAATTTGTATCTTAAGACTTTCCATTTGGGGATTTGGAGACACTTGAAGATCATGTAAATGTATTCAAAATGCTTAACAAAGCATTTACTATGATATGGTTACTAAAATATGAGTCTTCTTTCGTAGCACAGAAATAATACCAATTTTTAATATTTTATTTTATACCGTGTCTCACTGTGTAGATCAGGCTAGCCTAAAAAGTCCAGAGGCCCTACAAAATGTCAGCAGATGGAAAGAAACCGTAAAGATTAAGGCAGACATTAATGACACAGTATCAAACAACAACAATACCAATACAAAGCATCAATGAAACAGAGCTGGTTCTTTGAAAAGAAAACTGGGGTTGACAAACCCTTAGTCAAACTAACCAAAGAAGGTGAGCAAGATGACTCACTGGGTAAGGGACCTTCTACCAAACCTGGTGACATGAGTTTGATCCCCTGAACCTATACAATGGAATGAAAGGACCTCTGACCTTCACATGGGTATCATGGCGATTGAATGTCTACCCACTACATACACACAAGCTAGCTACAAGAAAGAGAGAAAGACCCAGTTTAATGAAATTGTAGTTAAAATGGAGCCTTTGCAACAGATAACAATGAGATTCAGAAAATAATTAGTTTTTATCTTAGAAACTTATATTTCAATAAATTTGAAAGTGTAACAGCAATGTATGGATTTCTACGTGAAGATGAGCAAAATTAAACCAAAATGAGACAAACAACACAAACAGATCTATGCTGTGGGAACTCCTTCAGCAATCCTCAGCAAAAAAGAATACAATTGGAGGTACCACCATGACTGGTTTCAATTCATTTTACAGAGGCACAGTAATGCAAACAGCTGGTTCTGGACTAAAACAGACTTGTGTATCAACAGAATAGGATAGAAAACTGAGATTTAACAACTACAGCTGCCTGACTTTTTGGAACGCACTCACTAAAAATACACATTGTGGCAAAGGACAACATCTTCAACAAAAGATTCTGGGAACACTGGGTATTGACGTGTGGAAGAATGAAACTAGACAAACCCCTTTATTGTCTCTCACCCTGTACAAAAATCAACTCCAAATGAATCAAGCAAAAGACCTGTCAGTCTGAAACTGTTAGAGGAAACAGTGTGCACACCAAGAGACAGGAACAGGAAAGGTTTTACTGAGGGGAAAGAACTTCATTCTCTGAAGAAATATGATCAATAATTGACAAATGGGATCACATAAAACTACAAGTTTCTAAAAAGCAAAGAAAACTGGAAATTAATTGAGTGAAGATGCAGCCTTCAGAGTGGAAGAAAATCTTTGCTGGCTGTACATCCAGCAGACTTTAGGATCTATAATTTACAAAACAAAACAAAAACCTCCAGGAAACTAGACATTAAGGTAGCAACCCAATTTTAAAAACTGGTCTATGGAATGGAACAGAAAGCTCTCAAAATAGCAAAAGCCACAAATAGCTAATAGACATTGAAGAAATCTTCAACATTCTTAGCCATTAAGGGCAATGCAAATTAAAACTATCCCACCTCACTCTAGTCAGAATGGCTGTCACCAAGTAAGCAAAAGATAACAAAAGCTGTTGAGGGTAAGGGGCAAGAAGAACACTTACGTACTGATGATGGAGTGTAAATTGGTACAGCCTCTTTGTAAGGCAATGTGAAGGTTTCTCACAAAGCTGAAATTAGAACTGCCCACATGACCGAGCTGTACCACTCCTGGGCACATCCTTGTTTGTCTGAGTTCATCGTTCATCTGTGTTTATTGCTGTTCTACAAACAACAGCTAGGAAATCGAATGACCCTAAATATCTGTCAACTGATGAATGATACTGAAAATATGCTACAGCTACACAATGGAATTTTAGTCAGCTGCAAAAATGAAATTTACAGGAAAGTGGATGAAACTGGAAAATACACTAAGTGAAGTCACTCAGGCCCTGGAAGATAAATAACATTAAAAATCTCATATGTGGATCTTGGCTTGGCTTTGAATGTTTTTATCTGTGCCTTCAAGTTTAGTGTCTGTAGTGGCTAGGAAGCTAGAGAGGGCACATGGTAGGAAGAGGGGAAGAGGACTTCGGTTGGGGAGAGAATGCAGAGCACTTGTGACAGAAATGTAGTGCAAGTTCACCAACATGGCAACCCAAAAGTGAGCTGGATAAGGTTGACACCAATGGATAAAGCTGGACAGGAGAAAAGACTATGAGGCTGCAGCCCCATCCAAGACCATAGGCAACCCAGGAAAGCTGGGAGTGGGAGAAAAGACCCTTCCCAGGCTAAAGCACAATAATTGGCTCTCTGATGTCAAATAGCTAGCCCTGAAATACACATACAAATAACATTTTATGGACTAAGCAGGTTTTATATATATGGAAAAGATGGGGGAAATGTTGTGATTATATTATAATCTCCAAAAATAAACCCATAAAGTTGGGTAGGGGATTCTGGGGTTTAAAGTCTTAAGCAGAGGCATGGGGAGTCAGGCAGGAATGTTGGGAAGTGGCTTAACCAAACAAAAGGATGTATGAAGAAGTGAAGAAACCCATCCTCCCCCATGTATGTGTGTGCACGCGCACGCTTAAAGAAGGGATTTGGATGAAGGTACCCTGCATCAGTGGACAGTTGTTAAGGTACCCTGCATCAGTGGACAGTTGTTAAGGGACAATCCCAGTGCCAGCTGTGGGACACTGTCATTTGATCTACTGGCCAGCCAGGCTCCAGAGGCTTCCAGGACAACACAGTCTACCACGATTGCTGTGACTTGCCCTTTTAACTAGATGTTAGGACCTCACTCCTGGAAATACAGAACATTTTGGTTCTGTGTGCAGAGAGATGAAGCTGGAACAGACTCGGGAACTTCTTCCCTGCTGGTTAGCTTCCGTAATGCCAAAGACACTAAGCAGGCCACTGGGGGCACAAAATCATCAGTGGACATGCCAAGCAGTTGACCCTGCAGGTATGACGCTGACATGCCAGCCAAGATGTGACCAAGCTGCTGTCACAGCAGACTGCTCTGGGGTAGGGGGTCATCAGTTGTTTTCTGACTGAATCTGAAGCCTGTTCCACAGGAAAGAATCTAGTCCAGGTACCATAGTCCTGATCAAAAGCCACGACTTGTCCCTGAAGAGATAGCTCAGTGGTTAAGGGTACTGGCTGCTCTTCCATAGGACCAAGGTTTGATTCCTAAAACCCACAAAGATGCTCACAAAATCTCTATAACTCCAATTTCAGTGAATTCAATACCCTCTTCTGTATAGGCACCAGACGCCACGTGCAGGGAGCAAACATACCCACAGGAAAACACCCATACACACAAAATAGTGAGATAATTTCTGAGGTCATAGCCCTAGAAGTGGGTAACCTACCCTCCTACTACAACTACTGTTTTGTTAAACAGACATGTTGTCAATCTGCCTTCTAACAAAGCCCCAGTGGCCTAACAAATAAGGCTTTCTAAATATTTACTTTTATATCCAAGATTAGTGATGCTTTCAACCTTGGTCAGAGCTTTCTTCTTTCACTGGAGGAAGTCAGGCAGAGACCCACAAGTGGTCGACGTGAGGAGAATAAGTAAATGCTCAGCCCTAAATAAGACGTCTACAACACCCACCGCCACCCTCGCCAAAGCTCAGGAGAAAAGCAGAAGAGGGAGCTGAAAGAGCGTAGGCACCAGAGAATGTGGAGGGATGCTGCGGTCTTCTGCATGCGACGTGGCCACCACAGTCAAGGATTTGTAGTAGCTATGGTTATCTAAACAAGATCGTGTTATTTCAAGTCAGTCAGTAATTCCCATGTGGATGGGGAGGAGTTCATGAGGTTTCACCCCTAGCCAAGGAGCTACTGATAACTGGTGGATGCTGGGGCAAGGAAACCATTGCTTTTCTCTCTATGACCATAATAGACTGCACATATGCATACAGGCTGCACTAAGCGAACTGAGAGGATTTTATTTAAAAAAAAGACATGAAAGTAGGGCGGGCATGTGTTAGGGGAAAGTCTGGGGGAGTTGGAGAGAGCGGTTGGGATAGACATCACTAATCACATTGTACATATGCATGAAATTAACGAAGAATAAACATAAGTACTATATATTTAAAAACATTCAAAAGCAAGTATCTGGCAGAGAATTTAAAGTTCTGTTGACAGATTAATAATTGGGAGCAAATTAACCTGATTCTCTATCGTAACAATCATACTAACTGTACAAGGAAGGTGTGAGGATTACTGCGGTCACACATGAAGAGTTCACCCGAGTTTCTGACAGCATTAGCTCCTGGAGACACAGCTCGGACAGCGCAGCTGCCCTGATAGGTGGCTGCATCCAAAGCCTGCACACATCACACGGGATCCACCCCCACAGCAGAGAAAATGAGGGCGCACCTACCTGCTGATAATATCTTTTCATTTCTAAAATCCTGTCGTGAAGCACACCGACAATTTTCCAAGACTCCTCTTTAAGTCGGTCCTCAAACTTCAGTTGAACCAAATCTTTGAGGAACCCAAAATCCACCTGAAGTGAGGTAATCATCTACAAAATAAAAATCTTTTGTCAGTGGAGAGAGTCAGGCCCTGGGTGCCAATATTCCAGCACATTCCTTGATTTGGAGCATTAGACCAGGTGCCTGGCTTACCTTTGAAGATCATCTCTCAGGTATGGTTTATTGAAGAAATACAACAATTCTCTCTCATGGCATCTAGGTTTTCAAAATGCTGTTAAATTTTAAAATTAATATATGCTAGTGGGGTGGTCTGGTTTAAGTATGGCCTGTTCCTTCCAAAACTTACGTTGAAATTTAATCTCCATCAAGAAACATTAAGAGAACGAAACCTTAGCGCGGCTACGGTGTTTACGGGGGGAATGCAGGGATGTGATTAGGATTAGGTAAACTCCTGGGGCAGAAAAGACGGCTATGTGGGAAGGAGGAGCCAGAAGAGGAGGCAAGAACAAGCAAGCCAGTGCTTGTGAACTGTGTCTCAGAGAAGACTCCCAAAGCTTCCCCACCACTGCCATCTAAATCCTCCCGACTAAAACTTAGTTTGAGCACAGCAAGCTACCGAGGAAGAAACTTATAAAGATAGTGCCCCAAAATATGTCATTCTAAAAGAAGACAACAAATTGGCAAGCATGTGGCAAGTGATGCCTTCAAAAGCTCTTAACAGTGCTGCAGTCTTTCAGCAGGGCAACTTGGCAGTGGCCTTTAAAGTGACTCATGTGTGTACCTTCTGACTCATAAGTTCCCTTTTAAGAATTTATGCCACAGATTTAGTGGTGCTTGAATTCATGCAGGATTATTCATCATAGGTAAAGATTAGACACTACGAAAATGTCAGTCAATACAGGGATAGCAATGCGATGTACGTCTTGTGACATAGTTGTGAAATAAACGAGACACTGGATATTGAACCCAGGACCTTGCACAAACTGGACAAGTACTCTGTCTCATTAAGCTTTCTCCCTAGTTGTTGTTTTGGTTTTTGTTTTTCTTCTTTTTTTTTCTTTTGAATTTAATTTTTGACACAGTGTTTCATGAAGTTGCCTGGGGGGATCCCAAACAAGTAATCCTCCTGTCTCAGCTTCCTGATTATCTGGGATTCCAGGTATGTGCTACTGTATTCAACTATGTGGAAGATATTTATGTATAGATATGGAATGATTTCCAAATAGATGAAAAGTAAAAATAAGGCAACTGAGGCAATTTATAGCAGTATTTTGATTCATGTGGTAGTTTTAATAACTCAATATGATCTTATATTTATGAAATACTCTATTCTCATTCAATTTCAAAAAATCCAAGGGAAAAGATAAGATTCGACAAAGCAATACAGTTAGAAAGTCATTCAGTATCTTATTGTCTTCATTTATCTATAGGTAAAATACTTTCTACTTTTCTTAATGTATCGTAAGCAGAGACTATTCACAGATGTCAGAAGCAGAGAAATTTCACTGAACAGACTCATATGTAAGATATAAACATGACAAGTATAGATCATAACTTAGATCAGTTGTAACGTATATCTGGGGCTTGAACATTTACTGTTCCTGCAGGGGACTGGATTCAGTTCTCAGCACCCTTGGGAGCTCACAACCGTAACTGCAGTTCCAGGGGATCTGATCCCTTCTTCTGGCCTTTGACAGCACCGGGCACACATGCAGTGCACAGGCACACATGCAGGCAAAACACACATGTACACAAAATTAAGAGTAAATCTTTAAAGCTTAAAAAGAATGCAAGTGTTGTTCTGCTAAGTTCCTCAAAGATCTTAGCATTCTGAGACCATCACAATCACTTTGGTGTTGCAAATAAAAGATGTATAAATCTGTACATGGAGCCTGCTCGTTCTTTTCCCAGCCGCCCAGACCTGAATAATCACACAGAAACTATATTAATTACAACACTGTTTGGCCAATGTCTTAGGTGTATTTCTAGCTAGCTCTTACATCTTTAATTAACCCATTTCTATTAAGCTGTGTATTGCCATAAGGCTGTGGCCTACTGGTAAAGTTCTGACATCTGTCTCCTTTGGCAGCTATACGGCGTCTCTCTGACTCTACCTACTGTCGCTATATCTCTGTTCAGATTTCCTTCCTGACTTTACTCTGATAAGCCATTGGCCAAAATAGCTTCTTTATCAACTAATGGTAATAAAACATATTCACAGCACACAGAGGGGAATGCCATATTATAAAACCACATGTGTAGGGATGTTGTTTAATGACAAGTGCTTTTTATAACATTCATGAAATATTGGGTTTGATTTCTAGTACACAACTCCCTTCCCAAACAAAAAAAAATTACCCCATAAAGATAAATAATGCACAAAGTTATCTTAGAAGTTACATTTAGATTTACCTGCATTAACTTTTCTGTTGATTGAGTCAAATCTTTCAATGGCAAAATTTCACTGCAATCTGTCTGCGTAGCATGGTCTGAAGTGAAAAAACCAATCTTCAAATTATCCGAAATAGTAAGTCTGGAAAGAGAATAGAGATACCAAATTTCCTTAGAAAAGGGTAAGCACATATATTTGGCAGTAAAATTTGATTATATTTACAATACTGCAAGAGATTATTCAATAAAGAAACTTTTGGAATATCTGGTCATGGATGAGTTGGCCTTGGCCTGGTTATCAGACCCCCTACACTGTGGCACCCTCATCTCTGTGTACCTTCTCCACTTTTCTGAGATATGATCTACTTAAGTCTATTATCTTAATATCTTATCCTGTGCTATTGCTAGAGATGATTGTAATTTATGCATAGTCGTATCTAACAGAAAGTATGTCATGATGGAGATTATCCTGGTGTGATCTGAGAACATCTGAGGTTCCAGCACAATCTGTGGGAGAAATCACAAGAGGAAACTTAGTTTTCCACAATAATATTAGGAGGTTTTCCTTTTCCCTATAACTCTCTCACAAAAGTTCACTGGAGTGTGTCATGGCTCCAGGCTGTGTGGTTGCTAAAATGCAGAAGCAGCTAAGATGAATCAGCTGCCTGCCTCTAAGACAGGCAGAAAAAAGATTGGCAAAAAACAGTGACACTTTCACCTTAAAACTTTAGTTCTGAAAAATATGGTTACATTGTCCTTAAAGTTTGTTATTTATATTTACATGTGATTTTATCACCATACTATAGGAGTTATTATAAATATACATTTAATTTCTACTTTTTAATTTTGACTATGACAACTCTTTATACATACAAAGAACATAAACCAAAACTTTTTGAGGTTGTCAACACTTTGAAGAAACTCCAACAGGTTCTAGAGCCAGAAGGTTTGAGCCCTGCTTTAGATAATCACCATTGTGTCCCTGATTAGGAAACTCTACTCCCAAAGCATCTGCAGAGGCCAGGAACTAGCCTTTTACATTTCCTCCATGGCTCTATAATGACAAGTGTCTTAAAAAGTTAGTAAGAAAACTCTCCGCATGTACACATCAATTTGATCAAACCTATCACAACCTTTTGTTTCTAAAATGTCAGCTGAAGGGGAGAGGGTATGGGGAGGGGAAAGGAGGAAGAAAGGATGGATGCAAGCAAGCAAGCGAGTCAAGAAAATCCCATAGAAACAGAGGCTCTGATGCAAAGAGTAGACATTCCTCTTACTCCTCTGCTGAGAAGTGGGGGCAGACCAGGCTAGGGGCACAGTGGCCTTCCCTTTCTTCTTGCGCAGGGGCAGAGCTGTAGATGTCTCCGCCGAAGAGCTAGCTAGTTCTGAAGCCTGCCACACCTCTGCTCTTCCTGTATTGTCACATTATAGGTACCTCCTGTAGGCAGTCTCTGCCTGCCACGGTGGAAGCATCCTGACTGATGCTGTAACCCCGTGACTTCAGGGAAATTAGCTAACTTTTCCTTGCCTTGATTTCCTCTTATATTTTTCTTTTAATGTTATGCGTACAGGTGTTTTTGCTTTCTGTATGTCTGTGTACCATGTTCGTGCTTAGTTCTAGGAGAGGTTGGAAGAGATGTCTGATCCCCTGGAACTGGAGTTACAGTTGTATGTCTTTACAGGGTGCTGGTAATCAAACTCAGTCTTCTGGAAGAGCCGCCAATTCTCTTAGCCACTGAACCAGCATCTTTCCAGCATGCCCCTAGTTTCTTCTTATAGATAACAAGAGTGCAGAGTCCACAGGATCACTGATAGACTGAGTGTAGTAATCTTAGAATCACTTTGGTGTGGTGCTTGGTGCACAGTGAGCCCTAGAGGAATGAGGAATAGTGTTGGCATTGGTGCTGAAGGGAGTTATTACACCGCAACCATCACCACATTTTCTTTCTGTTGTTCTCTTCCTCTCTTTCTTTCTTTGAAAAACGGTCTTTCTATTATGTAGCTTTGGTTGTTCCAGAACTTAATATGTAGATCAGGATGGCCTCTGTTTCAAAAAGATCTACCTGTCTATGCCCCCAAGTGCTGGGATTAAAAGCGTGTACCACAATGCGTGGCTGACTGTCAGGTTTTCAAACATCACAATTTGTTCATCATATTTGAAGAAAACCTTGAAAGAACAGCAGTATTTAACTATCAAATGCTCATTTGAAATTTAAAATTTAATACTCATAATAATGATTTTCAACTAATCCCACTAAGTTCTCAATTGTGTTCCACACACATCAATATTATGATGACAAACCTTATCTTCAGCAGTAGCTAGACAGAAATGAAGCATCTGATTTTAATTAAAATTTCTGATTTTTTTTTGCCAGAAGAAATTGGGTTTTAGATTTAGTTTAGTTCAGCTTAAGAGCTTGTGTGTTTTTCTCACTAACACGGTGTTCTAGAAATCTCCACAGGCCCTCCTCATCCCTGCATATTCTCTTAGGAGATGCCAAGAAGTCATTCTGTAGGTCCCTTCTAAGGTATGTTTTCAGAGAATAACCTTGAAGAACAAGGTAGCATCGTCCCCCTAGGAGGAAGCAATCTTGTTACTTATATAAAATGGTGGCCAGGCTGGAGAGATGTTTGACAGATAAAAATGCTTATGGTCGTGTTGAGGACACTGGGTTGGTTCCCAGAACCCATATGACTACTCAAAAATCATTAGTAACTTCAGCTCCAGGAGCGTTGGCTCTAACTGCTGACCTTCCTAGGCACCAGCCACACACACAATACTCTTACGTACATGAAGGCCAAACATGTCTACACACACATGCACAAAAAATAACAAATTAATCTTCACAAAAATAGTGGCCCATAATCCCCAGGAACTTCTCCTTGAGTTTAATGTCCCACGTGTGGACACCTATCTTGGTCTTCCATGTCACCTATGGGAACTTGGGATATCACCTGTGGGAACTGGGGATGTCATCTGTGAGAACTAGAGATGAGATGGGACACTCAATATAAATTACACCTGTAATCCTAACATTGGGGACTGAAACACAACAATTGCTCATTCAAGACCAGGCAGTATAGAATATTCTCCTTAATACGAATTTATGAGAATCAATGAAATAATCATCAATATTTAAAGCTCTGCCCCCTATGAAATCTATAACCAACTCTGAAAATAATTAATGAAAAACACTAATAAAGTATCATGATATGTAAGATTAACTATGGTATTATACTGCACTATTTAAGCAAATAAATTTAGATGACCATGGAGAGTTTTCCTAACATCACCATAAGCCTCTAAACCTTTCAATTTTAATAATTTTAAATTTTTATTTATTTATTTATATTTATATATATTTTATTTATTTATACACACATATGTACATGCCACCACCCACATGTCAAGGTCAGAGGTCACCTGGAGGACTGGGTTTTCTTCTTCTACCAAGTGAGTCCTGGTATTGAACTCAGGTCTTTAGGCTTGGTGGTAAGTGCCTTAACCAGCTAAGCCATTTCTCCAGCCCTAAATGATTATTTTTGCATCTATCATTTTCATTGTCTCCTGAGGTATCTTGCTAAAATCTATATTGTGTTCCTGCCTTTCCACAAAGGACTTTGATATCTTTTCTCATCAAAAATAATTAAATTCAGTCTTCTTTTTCTAACCTCCAAAATCTGTGTCTGAACTAATGACTTAAGCATCATGCTTAAGTGTCGTGTGCTGGACTAATAATCTGAGCATCATGTGTTCATACACAGTATCGCGTGCTGGACTAATGATCTGAGCATCATGCATTCATTCACACACAGTATCGTGTGCTGGACTAATGATCTGAGCATCATGTGTTATACACAGTATCGTGTGCTGGACTAATGATCTGAGCATCATGTGTTATACACAGTATCGTGTGCTGGACTAATGATCTGAGCATCATGTATTATACACAGTATCGTGTGCTGGACTAATGATCTGAGCATCATGTATTATACACAGTATCGTGTGCTGGACTAATGATCTGAGCATCATGTATTATACACAGTATCGTGTGCTGGACTAATGATCTGAGCATCATGTGTTATACACAGTATCGTGTGCTGGACTAATGATCTGAGCATCATGCATTCATTCATACACAGTATCGTGTGCTGGACTAATGATCTGAGCATCATGTGTTATACACAGTATCGTGTGCTGGACTAATGATCTGAGCATCATGTATTATACACAGTATCGTGTGCTGGACTAATGATCTGAGCATCATGTGTTATACACAGTATCGTGTGCTGGACTAATGATCTGAGCATCATGTGTTATACACAGTATCGTGTGCTGGACTAATGATCTGAGCATCATGTATTATACACAGTATCGTGTGCTGGACTAATGATCTGAGCATCATGTATTATACACAGTATCGTGTGCTGGACTAATGATCTGAGCATCATGTATTATACACAGTATCGTGCGCTGGACTAATGATCTGAGCATCATGCATTCATTCATACACAGTATCGTGTGCTGGACTAATGATCTGAGCATCATGTATTATACACAGTATCGTGTGCTGGACTAATGATCTGAGCATCATGTATTATACACAGTATCGTGTGCTGGACTAATGATCTGAGCATCATGTATTATACACAGTATCGTGTGCTGGACTAATGATCTGAGCATCATGTATTATACACAGTATCGTGTGCTGGACTAATGATCTGAGCATCATGTATTATACACAGTATCGTGTGCTGGACTAATGATCTGAGCATCATGTATTATACACAGTATCGTGCGCTGGAGTCTGTTCACAGTTCTACCCCCTAAAATAGTTGGTACTTTCCTTCTTTCCCACCTTAGTTTTCCTTCTTGGCCCTCTTAACTTCTCATCATGGAGGAGTCAACACGGTAGATAGTGACAAGGGATGACTGAAAACAAACAAACAAGCAGAAAAAAAAACTTGGGAGCAACTAGAGAAGGCCAGTGGGCCCAGTAGCTAAGGAGGTAGGGCTGATGAGGAGGCACAAGAAGAGACAGGAGAGAGCCAGGACAATGACAGAATTGGGAATATTGGATGAAGAAGTACGTGTATTAAAGATGATGGGGAGAAGTTTCTCAGTCTCTGAAAAAATATTAA